CCTGGGGTCATGACCTGAACCAAAGGCAGACACTTAACCTACTGAGTCACCCAGGCATCCCTAGGCAGTGTCTTTAAAGCTATACAGCTGATGAAATAAATTTAGTATTGGCATACGGCCTAATTTTGTCAAAAATCATTTTGAAGCGTAGAGAGCCCTAGCATGCATAAGATCTTGAGTAAGCTCCCCTACAACTTGGTGCCATAATTCCACCTCAGAGGGTTGTGGTGAGACTACTTAATTGATTGAATGCATGTAAAGTACCTGGAAATAGAGCCTGGCATAGAGGGTGCATACAATGAATGATAGCTGCCACTGCTGTTTATAGGATTTTCTTAAATACTGAGCACAGAATTGGAGCCTGAGATGAGGTTTTCATTAATTTACTTCTTAATTATAACTCAAAATTTTGGAGGAGAGCTTAAGTATTTAGTGACTTTTTATTTTTATTTATTTATTTATTTTTAAAGATTTTATTTATTTGACAGAAACACAGCGAGAGAGGGAACACAAGCAGAGGGAATAGGAGAGGGAGAAGCAGGCTCCCTGCTGAGCAGGGAGCCCGATGCGGGGCTCGATCCCAGCACCCTGGGATCATGACCTGAGCTGAAGGCAGACGTTTCATGACTGAGCCACCCAGGTGCCCCGACTTTTTAAAAATAGTAACGTTTAGGTGCACCTAGGTGGCTCAGTTAGTTGTTAGGTGTCTGACTTTGGCTCAGGTCATGATCTTTGAGTCCTGGAATGGAGCCCGGCATCAGGCTCCCGGTTCAGTGGGGAGTCAGCTTCTCCCTCTCCCTCTGCCCCTCCCCCTGCTTGTGCTCTCTGTCTTGCTCTCTCAAATAAATAAAGAAAATCTTTAAAAAAAATAAAGTTTAGTATTTTTGTGCTTCAAATTACTAATTCCTAGCAAGAAAAAGGATAAATGTCAAATTTAATAAAATAATTCAAATTTAGCAGGGAATTATCAGCAGGCCACATGCTTGTTTAAATTTTTAAAGATTACTTTAGTTGGTATAATATTTTTGAGTGTTTTATGGAAAAATCACATTTTATTTATTTATTTATTTATTTATTTATTTATTTATTTTTGCTTTGCAGCTCCTTGATGCTTTTGGACATAAATCTAATATTAGCCTTGTCTTTGATTTTATGGAAACTGATCTAGAGGTAAGATTAAGATTCCCAGAGGACTTTCTTTTCTCTTTTTATCAAAAGAGAACCTAAATGTTTATTTCCTTTTCTCTTCTGAATCATTTAGCCCAGTGTTAAATATAGAGATTGGGATTTCAAAGCATTTCTGTCTGCCAAGTTCCCTATACCTTTATTGACATTATTTTTAAAGAAATGAATATTAGGCCTTTGAGAATTTAGAGTTCCTTTTCCATATTATCACAGAATATCCTCCTTTTGAAAACCAAGTTTTTTGTTTTATTTTTGAGAAAATAAGATCTTATGCTTTTCCTTAATACTAATTGAATCTCAAAAACTGACAATTCAAGGATGTTGAACAACTGAAATTCTCATACAGTGCTGGTGAGAATGCAAAATGGTGCAGCCAGTTTGGAAAATAGTTTGGCAGTTTCTTAAACAGTTAAATACACAGCTAAAGAACGATCTGGCCATACCACTGCCAGGTGTTTATCTAAGAGAAACCAAAATATGTCTACACAGAAATCAGTTGGTACATAGATGTTCAGCTTTATTCATTATTGCCCAAACTGGAAACAATTCAAATACCTTTCATCTAGTGAATGTATAAACAAACTGTGGTATAGCTATAAAATGGAATACTGTTTGGGGATAAAAAGAAATGAACTGCCCATACATAAAATAGTATAGAGGAATCTCAAATGTATTGTGCTAAATGAAAGAACTCAGGCTCAAAAGGCTATATATTGTATGATTCCATTTATATGATGTTCTGGAAAAGGTGAAGCTAAAGAAACAGATCAGATCAGTGGTGGCCAGGGTTGGGAGTAGAAGAAAGTATTGGGTATAGAGGGGCCTGAGGTGATTGGGGTGGGGGTGGGAGTTAAAGAACTCTATCTTGATTATGGTAGTGGTTACACAACTGGATGTCTTTGTTAAAACTCATGGAACTCTGCACTGAAAAGGGCATATTTTGCCTAAATCTGATTTCTTTCTTTTCTTTTTTTTTTTGTAAATGGGATTGTTCTCTTAATTTCTCTCTCTCTCTTTTTTTTTTAAAGATTTTATTTATTTGACAGATAGAGACATAGCAAGAGAGGGAACACAAGAAAGGGGAGTGG